TGGTTTACCTTGAGTTTGTATCTATTGTTTGCCCGTGTATTATTGCGGTTGAAGCTGAAGTAGTCGTTGACAGGTGGACGTTGTAGCAGACAATTTTGTTTACCATGCTTAGGTCAGACTGTAGGTAGTGTAGTTCAAGGTTGTCTAAGTCCAAAGTTTCAAGCATGGTGGCATAAGGTGTTCTATTGAGAAATACCTCTGGACCCGCTCAATTGTATTAATGTCCAATATACAGTGTGGATTCCAGGCAGACAAGCTGTATTCAAGGATTGGTCTGGCAAAGATTTTGTATGCTCTAGTTAGCAGTACAGTGTTACCGGGGAAGAAGCTTTGCAAAATTAGGTTAACAACTCTTAATGCCTTTTTGGCAATGCTGTTATAGGGAGCTCTGGGGTTTAGATTATTAGAGATGAGTATTGCTAGGTCTTGACAGAGTGAGGGTCATCAATGAGGTTGTATCCACCCAGCTTGTATTTGGTGTTCTGATTTTTGTTGCCAATGTGTAAGAAAGAGCATTTGTTAGTTGAGATTTGGAGTTGCCAGTTGTTCACCATTCCGATACATAGTCAAGGTTGCTTTGTAGGGCAGTAGTAGTAGTAGTAGTGTCGGTGATGTTAAATAGTTTTACATCAGCAGCAAAGAGGATGCAGCTGCTTAATATAATCGCAAAGGTCATTTATGTAAAGCAGAAATGGTGTGGGTCCTAATACGCTGCCTTGGGGGACATCACTGTTAATTGGTGCAGGGTTTGATAAGAGTGCTCCCTATTTTGACTAGTTGCCTGTTTGACAGGAACACAGCTATCCACTTGTGCAGGGATCCTGAAATGCCATAAGAGCTTACTTTTAACAGAAGTTTGTGTACCACTGAATCAAAGGCTTTGCAGAAGTCTATGTAAATTGCATCTATTGCTTTACCCAAGGTTTGCTTTACCAGGGTCAAGTTGTAAGGTCCACATATTTCTGCAGTGTAGGAGTTGTAGGTTATAGGACATTTTTTTTCCTGAAACCAAACTCGTTAGAGAGCAGCAGAGCAGCTCCAAGTAAGTGATAGATTGGTTTTTGATTCCATGACTTTATAGGTGACACAACACACTGAGATTGGTCTATAATTTTCAACTAGGCTGGGATCTCCCTTTTTGAAGATAGGAACAACCATGGCTAATTACCATAGGTCGGGCAAGGAGCTGGTTCTGAAAAATACCTCATAGATAGTGCTTAGAGGTTCGGCTATGGCAGTGGAAAGCTTTTTCAGGAAGTAGGCACATAATCCATTTATATCTTTTGCCGGCTATCCATGGCATTATCAGAAGTACTCTCCAACATCGTGCAGCACCATGCCTTCCCTCTGGAAACCTTGCCCCCCCTCCCGGAGTGAGGTTGGCCCCAACTCTCCTGATCTTCCATCTTCTTTAAGGGCCTAAAGACCTGGCTCTGCCAGTTGGCTTGGGACTCCAATGGGGAGGGGCATTGCAATGTAGTTGATTAATTAACAACAGATCCCACTTTACCCTCATCCTATTCCTGCCTTTCCCATCTTTTAATTGGACTGTTATACTTGGCTCTGTGTAGTATTTTATTTGTGCTTTTGTTTTTTTATATTTTTATTTTTTTATGATTGTAAGCTGCCCTGTTACCCTGAGGGTAAGATGGGTGACCAATACATTTTATAAATTTAAAAATAATAATAAGCCTCAAATTTCAAAAGCATTAATGCTCTTCCTATCCTGATTCTTCAACTTTGGTTTCCATAGAATGATATAAAACCGTTCCGGTTTTGTGGATCATCATCAGTGGCAGCAAAGGCAGGAAAGAGAGAAAATGGTTGCATGCACTCATTACTTGTGAAAATTGAGCTTTTTGTGCCACAGGCAACATACCAAAGTTTGGTGACCCCTGCCATAGGGAATGCATTGCTTGCACTATCTCATCATGGCATCTTTCCCAAGCTTTAATATTAACTTTCAGTCCCATTTTTTCACTGTGCTCATTAACCTTTTTCACGGGAACTTGTATTCTTTGCATGTTTAGTCATCAGAGTAATGTTAATGACCAAGAAATTCCAGTTAGCCTATGCTTAAGATCAGAAATGATTTAAATTGTTTAAAGTTAGCTTAGCAAGAAGAAGCTAAGATCAATGTAGAGATGTTATTAATTTCTTTATTTCTTTTTTCTCAATAGATTTTAGACTGTGTTTGTTAAAAATCTATACCGTGTATGGGTTCTGGGAAGTCGGGGAGGGGAGGGGGGTCAGGGGTCGGGATATACATTATGCTAGACACGATGTGTTAGATCTCAATGCAATGTGACTTCACATGTATACTGTTTTTCTCTAATTTTTCTTTAAAAATAGGATAAGCCAAATACATTAACATATAGTGGAAATACACCGAGGGGAGGAGGAGTAGGAAAGAAGAAAGATGGGTAGAGAGGGATGGGAGAGAGGGTGGGGGGAAAGGCGAAAGGGAAGGGGAGCGGATCTGGAGAGAGGAGTGGTAGAGGGCGAGGGGAAGTAGGGTAGAGGGGGATGATGGAGGGAAGATAGAAAGTTGGAGGGTGGTGGAAGAAAGAGGTGTATGGAGAATGGAAGAGGTATATTGGGCTTTTATTTTCTGGGGCATTGTCGACAAGAGGAATTGATGCAATTACTGTTTAATACTGTATGGTGTATACATGTGAGTATATGAAAATGAAAATAAAATATACTAAAAGGGAAAAAAAAAGAGTAATGTTATTAACATTGGAAATTAATGAAAAGTCTTCCTCCAATTAAAAAAAAAATTAACTTCTTCCAATCAATTTCCCTTATATATTCAGGGAGAGTCTCATTCTTTTCTCACACTTTGCCATGTTCTCTCAAGACTGTGGTTTCCTAACTTCTTTGTAGATTTTGATGAGACAAGGAGATATTCTAGATTTTTTTTTAAAGCACATTCCAATGTGACATGACTGACAGAATCAAAGGCCTTCTGAATTCAGTAATGTCTATAATCAATTTAGTGAGTTCTTCTTTTCACTTACTCAATTATCTAGTGTACATCAGCAATGTTTTGTGTTTCCCTGCCTTTTCTAAAGCCAGCTTAAACACTATTTGTTATTTCCTACTTCGTATAGAGTGACAATGTTCCCAATTTTTATTTTGTTTAATACTTTGCACAGTGTTAAGTTTTTCTGTAGATTTACCTCTTTAATCTATTCACTGTTCCTCTGTTCGGCTACTTAAGGGGTGTCAAACTCGTGACAACACGTTGTTGTCACGGAACGTATTACAACTTTCCCCTCCTTCGCTAAACCGGGGGTGGGCACACCTAGCCCGCGAGTTTGACACCCTTGGACTAGTTGGTTAAATATTTATTAACTGAGAATTTTCTAATTTGTCTTTTGTTGTTAGACATGTTTCTGTAGAGATTTTATCAATTTGTTTAGCTTGCCAACTTGGCAATGACTGGAGTACTTATCTAAGTTCATTTTTCCAGTAATAGATATACTTGTGAGTAGGGAATGTCTTCCAATGTATCTTTGATGTCGGCATCTCTACTGTATAGTATTTCAATATACTTTTTCCATCTTTCTTTGGTCTTCTTTGAATCAGTTACAACATGTCCATGGGTGTCTTTTGGATAATAGATAAGCATGTCATAAGAAGCATATTTCATCCTTGCAGGATTTTATTTGCTCTATTTATTTATTATTTAACACATACATTAGTTACATTAACATGTTCTATGTCTGTGTTTAATGTGTTCTACTAATCAGGCAGTGGGCTTTTCCTGTTAGCTTCTGCATGATTTAGACTCCGTATATAAAATGTTTGAAGCTTTGTGTACTGAATCAAACTATTTGAAAACAAGGAAGAAAATGTCGTATAGATGTTTGTGATATCAGGATATAAATGAACATTCATACTGGATTGTTTTACAAAGGGATAAAATTTTGTTTAATTTTTACAGCATTTATGCCATTAAAAAACCATGGGATGGATAATTTGGACCTTCTGAATGCTATTGTACTACATGACCCCTACTTCTCTATATCATATTGAGACAGGACAGAGCTGTGGTTGAACTGAAGGCCTACAGTTCTCTTATTCCGGTTTGTTTTCAAGAAACAGCCCTTGAAGACAAGAGGAGAGGATCCATAGGAAATAGTATTTCTGAAGCTGCCAATGTTTTCATTCAGAACCCAAAAAATAAAACTGTGGTAGATAATACTGGGAAATGAATCCAGTTCAATTCAGTTCAGTTCAAACTGGCTCTGGCTTCAGAGTTTATTTACAAAAAGACTTTCTATGCCATACTTCAAGCAATCGATTAAAACTTCCAAAAGAATCATTATTCAGCCTTTGACGGTAATGTTTTATAAGGGTTTAAAATTCCTTTAGGATCTAACATAACCTTGAACTGCTGCATGAGAAGAATGGCCTCTTTTGGCTTACTGTAGTGGATGTAATGTTTCTTCTTGAAACCCAGGCCATGCTCGGCACTGATGCTTCCATAATATTGTGAAACCCATTCATACACATATGGCTCAATGGCATCCAGGAGAGAATGACTGTATGACTCTGCTGTGACATTCAGGTGCAGGTTTCCATCTCCTGTCAGAGCAAACCAGAAATAACAACTGGTTTCAAAAGAGAAAGTAGACAATACTTTACTTATTCCTTAACTGTGATATGAAATAATATTTTTTTTTATTAAAAGGAAACAATTTTCATACTCTTTTGCAGTTAACTGGAGATGGTGGAAATGGTAAGCCAACAACACATTGCAATTCATAATTAAGGAAGTTTTTACTAGCATAGTGGAACTCACCTAGATGTCCATAGCCAACCACATTCTTAGCAGCTGTACCCAGCCGTACTTTCATGTCAGTCACAAGATCATAGAGTTTTTCCACAGGGAGTGAAATGTCGTATTTATAAACAACTCCATCACATGTCAGGGCTTCTGTGATCCGTTCCCGTAAAGCCCATAATGCCTGTAGTTGACCAAATATATTGTTTAGAGGAAACAATACCACATTGACATCCTTAAAGAATGTATGATTTACAAAAGTTAACTGTGTCTTTGTGTTGTTCTCATTTCTGAATGCTGTATAATTTTTATTGGATTCTTCCGTTGTATCCTGCCTCAGAATTTTTTTTAAAATGAAGAACAGTTTAAAAAGACCAAATAATACGTAACATACATTACATTTATTTAGATGTGCACATTGAGCAGCAATGCTTGCATAGAAAACATCAGCACTGAAGGATTTGGGCCCAAAAGTTCTCTTGTATAAATGTTTGAATGTTTGAATGTTTATTAACATTTGTAGGCCGCCCTTTTCCCTGAGGGGACTCAGGGCGGCTCACATAAAA